CGAGGGTCTTCTGGTTTTGTTCACTTTTCCCTCTGCTTTACAGTCTGTCTATTCAGCAGTTTGCAGTCTTGGTCCGTTCAGAGAATCTCACCAGTTCACCTATGCCGTCGCCATCTTGCCCCGTCTCCATAAGTAGTGCAGCGTGATGCAGGTGCAGGCTGGGCGCATCCCCAGAGCCATCGCTATGGCTTCACCGGAGAGGAGCTGGGACCTGGCAGCGCTCGGGATCCTTTCCGATCCCCCACGCTCTTGGCTCCGTTGCAAGGCTCCCACAAAGCTCGGCCTCCCCAGGAGTCGATATTGTTTTATTTAAAGAAACATTTCAATGGAAAGACCTTCTAGAGGACCCTAATCCTGCATAGCCTTATTGACTACATAATTGAATGCTCAAATTCATTATCATTAATAGAAGCATCAAAGATTTTGGATGGGACAAGATAAGAAGGTATCTAATATTTATTAAAGCTCAAAAATTTCTTAAATCATAGGATAAGCACAGGTATAGGCACATTATAGCATGAATGCATATAACCTGCTTCCTGAACAGCTGTAATCCTCTCTACTGACTGAACCAGGGGTCCTCAAACTACGGCCTGCGGGCCACATGTGGCCCGCCGAGGACATTTATCTGGCCTGCTGGGTGTTTTTGCTGCCTTAACTTGTTATGACTAGCAGTGACAAATATGGAACCGGACATTGACCATCTCATTAGCCAACAGCAGGCCCATAGTTCCCACTGAAATACTGGTAAGTTTGTTGATTTAACTTTACTTGTTCTTCATTTTAAATATTGTATTTGTTCCCATTTTGTTTTTTCACTTCAAAATAAGATATGTGCAGTGTGCATAGGAATTTGTTCATAGTTTTTTTTAAAAACTATAGTCCGCCCCTCCAACGGTCTGAGGGACAGTGAACTGGCCCCCTGTTTTAAAAGTTTGAGGACCCCTGGACTGAACCAACACACAGACATCAGAATTTATCAAATGTCTCTGGCCCTATAAACATCAATCACAACTGGAGTATATGGGATCACACATAAATAGGAATATTCCAAGCTTTGAATATGACTTCTACAATGTATTAAAGAAAAATCACACCGGGCTCGGTGGCTCAGCCTGTAATCCCACGCCTTGGGAGGCTGAGGTGAGTGGATTGCCTGAGCCCACGAGTTCAAGACCCTCCTGGGCAACTTGGTGAGACCTCCTCTCTACAATAAATCAAAAAATTAGCCGGGTGTGGTAGCGCGCTCCTGTAGTTCCAGCTACTTGGAAGGCTGAGGCGGAAAGATCGCCGGAGCCCAGCAGGTCGAGGCTGCAGTGGCTGGGAGCGGCCACTGCACTCCAGTCTGGGCGACAGAGTGAGACTCTAACTCAAAAAAAAAAAAAAAGAAAGAAAGAAAGAAAAGAAAAATCACTTAAAAAAAAAAACTTGGTGAAGGATGAATGCATGGATGAATGAACAGGTGAGGAAATATGAAGACCATGAAGGTTTTAATTGTTTTCAAGCTTATGAAGAGGATACTAACTAGGCGTTCTACAAGTCCCCAAACCAAATGAATTCAGATCAAGCAGGAAAGAATTTAAATGAGTCACAAAACTTTTTTCATAACAAATTTGGTAATAAAATCATTGATTGGAGAATAAAAGTACAAATCTGGTAAGAAAATAGAAAACTGCTGGGTGAGGTGACTCAGGCCTGTAATCCCAGCACTTTAGGAGGCAGAGGCAAGAGGATTACCTGAGCTCAGGAGTTTGAGACCAGACTGAGCAACATGGTGAGACCTTGTCACTACAATAAATAAAAAAAAAATCAGCCAGGTGTGGTGGCGCATGCCTGTGGTTCCAGTTGCTTGGAAAGCTGAGGTGGAAGGATTGCCTGAGCCCAGCAAGTCGAGGCTGTGAGCGGGCCACTACACTCCAGCCTGGGTGACAGAGCAAGACTCTGACTCAAAAAAAAAAAAAAAAAAGGAAATAGAAAATCATTTGTAATGAATGCCTGAGACATATACCTCCCTAATGGGAAAAAGTACTTCAGTTGATTCCATGATTTACTCACGTGTGCACCATTTGTCCCCCCAGTATTGGTAAGGAAGCCAAGGACTTGATCACATGGCCAAGCACATACACCAAGGAGAGATAGATGATTGTCCTGTTGAGAGAGTTAAATCAATCAGTCTAAAAACAAAATTCAGAGACTTGAGTAATACAAACTCAGGGTTCATACTGTTCTCAGCATGGAGAAAAATGGAGGAGGAGGAAAAGGTGGAGGAGGCAAGAATTACCTGAGAAATGCAAATAGAGGTAATAATGGTGAATGAAATAAACAGAGTAGGAAAAAGGGGTGCAGTTCTTCACCCTGCAGTATAAGAACTATTAATAATAGACATTCCCTTCAAGTTCTCTTTCTATACCTACCTTCATCTTTTTCCTATGCCCTCACTCTATACTTAAAGCAATCCTTACTTTTGTACAGCTATGACAAGATTGGGTGTATTTGTAGCACAAATGATGATGTTTTAAATTAGAAGAACCAGTAGAACAGGATACGAACCTAAGGTATTTTTTTTCAAGAAATGTCTTTTGCTCTAGAAAGCAAGAGGTGTTGCTGGGTGTGGTGGCTTATGCCAGTAATCCCAGCACTTTGGAAGGCTGAAGTGAGAGGATTGCCTGAGCCCAGGGGTTCGATACCAGCCTGGGCAACTTGGTAAAACATCATCTCTACAATAAATTAAAAATAAATAAATAAGCTGGGCGTGGTGGCATGCACCTATAGTCCTAGCTACTTGGAAGGCTGAGGCAGAAGGATTGCCGGAGCCTAGCAGGTCGAGGTTGTGGTGGCCATGAGCACACCACTGCACTCCAGCCTAGGCAACAGAGTGAGACTCCAATGTAAAAAAAAAAAAAAAAAGTCCGGGCGTTGTGGTTCACGTTTATAATCCCAGCACTTTGGGAGGCCGAAGTGAGAGGATTGTCTGAGCCCATGGTTTTGAGACCAGCCTGGGCACCTTGGAGAAATCTCATCAATACAAGAAAACATGAGCTGGGCGTGGTGGCACGTGCCTGTAGTTCCAGCTACTTGGAAGACTGAGGCTGAAGGATCGCTGGAGCCCAGTAGGTCGACACTGGGGTGGCCGTGAGTGTGCCACTCCAGCCTGGGTGATGGAGTGAGACTTCAATTCAAACAAACAAACAACAAAAACAAAACAAAAGGAGTTTGAACTAGACAGATATAACCTGGGAAGTAAGAGCAGATCAATGTCCAATTGTTGGACTAAATAAGTGAGGATAAGTGGCTTAGGAGGAAAATAGGAAACCTTCTAGATGAAAGACTCATAGAAAATAATCTAGATATGAAGGATATAAGAGAAGAATTTCTTACTCATGGCAGGAGACTTTAACAGAAGGAGAAATAAGTCAAGAGATACTTGGAAATTCTGCATTTGAGGCTGGGAGTGGTGGCTCACACCTGTAATCCCAGCACTTTGGGAGGCTGAGGAAAGAGGATTGCTTGAACTTAGGAGTTCAAGACCAGTATGGACAACATAACAAGATTTTTGCCTCTACAGAAAATACAAATTTATAATTTAAAAAAAAGTTTGCACTTTAATGGGGTCATTAGGATCATTGTAACCCCAACCAGAGGACACAGAACTGTTTTAGGATGACTTGAGAGATGGAGAATGTGCAGATGATAGAGGCAGAATCCTTGCATGAAAAAAAGGGGATAGGCTCTGACAAGACAAAAAAGATAGAAGAGAGAAACACCATACCACATAGACCCACTCAGAAAAAGAGAAAGACATGTGAGAGAATATCCAAAAGCACAATAAACACATTTAAGAGAGTGGTTCTAAGTGATTGCCAAAGTCAAAAGCCCAAATTGATAGGCCTGAGTCATAGGATGTAAAAACTAAACTATTTCTAAAAACATTTTTCTCTTTTAAAAGCAACTTGACACTAAAAATAGCATCCTAGCATATAGTAAATACTTGTAGAAATCATGAGAAGCCAATATGCATGTTGAATGATTTTTGTTTTCCACTGTGTACCGTTGATTAGTTTTTCCTGTGTGCAGCCCTGAAGGAAGCCTTACTTCTTCCCCCATGCAGGGAGTTCCTTATACAAGTCAGGGACCCTGGGTGACCATTTCCTCTTTTTTTTTTTTTTTTTTTTGAGTCAGGATCTCACTCTGTCACCCAGGTGGGAGTGCAGTGACATGCTCACGGCTACTGCAGTCTCGACCTGTTGGGCTCAGGCGATCCCTCCTCCTCAGCTTTTCAGGTAGTTGGAACTATAGGCGTGTGCCACCATGACCAGCTAATTTTTTGATTTATTGTAGAGATGAGGTCTTGCCATGTTGCCTAGGCTGGTCTCGAACCAGTGGGCTCAGGGGCAATCCTCTTGCCTCCACCTCCCAACGTCCTGGGATTACAGGCATGAGCCACTGCGCTCGGCTGACCATTTCTTCTGGGATGGCAAAGAGGAAGGATTTTAATAGAAGATGTTTACTAAATTCAGAAAATTGTCCCTTCAAGGTTTGAACAATATTTCTAATGTTATAGAAAGTTTTTTGCCTACCAAGTTAACACCTGGTTGAAAAGTGTACACACACACACACACACACACACACACACACACACACACACACACACACACACTCAGGCAGAGGAACTCATGAGAGATGGGGAGGAATTTACAGTTTGAAATGTAAATCTATTTCACTTTCCTCTAGCTAATGAAAAAAAGGCTGTAGGTTCAAATTCAAGAAGATAGTAAAGGAAGAGCCTGCTCTTCTGATTTTTTAACTTAAGGAAATCAGTGGCTGGACACGGTGGCTCATGCCTATAATCTCAGCACTTTGGGAGGCGGTGGTGAGAGGATTGCTTGAGCCCAGGGATTCAAGACCAGCCTGGGCAATTTGACAAGACCTCATCTCTACATATACCAAAAAATTAGCCGGGTGTGGTGGCGCATGCCTTTAGTTCCAGCTACTAGGAGGCTGAAGCGGAAAGATCGCCAGAGTCCAGCAGGTCGAGGCTGGGTGGTCATGAGTGTGCCACTGCACTCCAGCCTGGGTGACAGAGTGAGACTCCCAACTCAAAAAACAAAACAAAACTAAACAAAAAAACACAACCATAATAGCCACAAGAAAATAAGTCATTGTCATGCCTGTCTATAATCTAGCTTCAGTCTTGTATCTACATTTGAGTGTCTGAGGGTAAGTAAATTATAATTCAAACATTTGTGGGCCTGCTATGTACCAGGCTCTGTTCTAAATCTGTGGCTAAAACTAGAAATGATTTGGTCCTCTAAATGTTTGGAAGAAGATATCTGATTCGTGTACAAATAATTATAGTAAGATAGAGTTTGGTAAATGTCATATGAGGGTAAAAAATAAAGACTTAGAGAACAATAGATTATGTCTGGCTAGTAATAAAAGAAGCAGAGAATACTTCATAGCATAGCTAGTATTTAAGATGAGACTAAAAGGGTTAAGACATGGAAGGATGGGAAGGAAGGGGTTTTCTTTTCTTTTTTTTTTTTTTTGAGTTGGAGTCTCACTCTGTTGCCCAGACTGGAGTGCAGTGGCTGCTCCTGGCCACCGGAGCCTCGACCTGCTGGGCTCTGGCGATCCTTCCGCCTCAGCCTTCCAAGTAGCCGGAATTACAGGCAAGTGCTACCACGCCCGGCTGATTTTTTTATTTATTGTAGAGATGAGGTCTCGCTGCCCAGGCGGGTCTCGAACCCGCGGGCTCAGGCAATCCACTCAACTCAGCCTCCCAAAGGCGTGGGATTACAGGCTGAGCCACCGAGCCCGGCTGGAAGGGGTTTTCATGAAGTAGAAATAATGTAAGCAGGCATGGAAAAAGCAACATGCCACTGGATATTGTTAGGGAAATATTAGCATTCAATTTTTCTCAGTGCTTAGTCTTGAAAGGAAGTATGACAATAAGCTCAGAAAGTCAAGTTAGAATGAGATTAGTAGACAGTGATTTAGTCACCAGAAACATTTGAGCAGAGTAGTAATGTGATCAGAGATTTCTTTTAGGAAGATTGATTTGGCAGTAGCATATAGGCTTAATTGTAGGAAAAAGGTATGGGAAGGAGTAAAAACTTTTTAGGTATCTATTTCAAGGCCAGGCGCAGTGGTTCATGCCTATAATCTCAGCACTTTAGGAGGCCGAGGTGAGAGGATAGCCTGAGCCCACAGGTTGGAGACCAGGTTGGGCAACTTGGCGAGACCTCATCTCTACAACAAATAAAAAAATTAGCTGGGTATGGTGGTACGAGCCTGTAGTTCCAGCTACTTGGAAGGCTGAGGCAGAAGGATCTCCTGAGCCCAGCAGGTTGAGGCTGCGGTGGCCATGAGCGTGCTACTGTACTCCAGTTTGAGTGACAGAGTAAGACTTCCACTCAAAAAAATAAAATAAAATAAATGTGAGAGATATTGTAGAAAAGATAATTGGGGAGTGAGGACAATCCAGGAGGTAAATGCAAATGTGCAGTGTTCTGGAGTGTGAGTGAGAATTATAAAAGAGTTTGAGAAGCTCTCTGCATATAGTTAATATTGACACCACAGGACTTGCTAAGGGAAAATCTGGAGAAGAGATGAGGGCAAAAGTTGTAACCTGGGAGAAATGCTTATACTCAGGGAAAAGTGAAGTAAACAAGAGGCAAAAGAGTCAGATAATGAAGAATCCAAAAATGTAAGAGGAAGAGAATGTTAGAGAAGGCCAGGAAATTTCAAGAACATAGGAATGATAACAGTCTGAAATGTTAAAACAAATTCAAAATGAATAAGAATTTAGAAAAGACCACTGGAATTTGTTAACAAAGAAATCAATATCAGTAGTTGTAATTATTAACTAACTGTAATTAGTTATTTCAGTAGGAAAAAAAGATGATTTCCACTATATCTTACTGTACTTACTACAATCTGCTCTATAGTAAAGCTATTTGAGTATAAACAATGTGAAGCAGGTAGTATATGTGATTCATCTCTATCCTCCATGGTGCTTTGGACAAATGGAAGGTCCTCAATAAACATTTATTGTTAAATTGGATCAAACAGAATTGAATTGGATTCTATTGCATAATATTACTCTACCATCAGTGATAATGAAGAATGAGAAAAGAAAGCAACACATACATATGATTATTTTTATAGTTTGCAGGTAAATAAGAGAAAGAAGATAGGAAAAGAAGAGTCAAGAAGAGTTTTGTGGCAGGACATGGTGGCTCAAGACTGCAATCCCAGCACTTTGGGAGGCTGAGGCAAGAGGATTGCCTGAACTCAGGGGTTCCAGACCAGCCTGGGCAACGTGGTGAGACCTTGTTTCTACAATAAATCTAAAAATAAGCCGGGCATGGTAGCGCACACCTGTAGTTCCAGCTACTTGGAAGTCTGAGGTGGAAAGATCACCTGAACCCAGTAGGTCGAGGCTGCGGTGGCCGTGAACATGCCACTGTACTTCAGCTTGGGCAACACAGTGAGACTCCAACTAAAAAAACAAAAAAATAAGGGTGGGGAGGAAGAATTTTGTTTGTTTGTTTATAGCTATTAGAGATTCATACCTGGTTCTAGTTTCAGGAAAAGGCTCTGGCTCTGATGGAGAATTTGAAGGCAAGAGAGGGGAATACTGAGGGTACAAAGACCCCAAGGAGAGTGACCTAAGTGATAGTGATACATATATAAAAATTCATCAAGCTGGGCTAGGCGAAGTGGCTCATGCCTGTAGTCCCAACACTTTGGGAGGCAGAGGTGAGAGGATTGCCTGAGCCCAGGGGTTTGAGATCTACCTGGGCAACTTGGTGAGAACTCGTCTCTAAAAAGAAAAAAACAAGAAAAAAGAAAAAAAGAAAAAAAATCATCAAGCCGTACAGGTAAGATTTTTGGATTTGTGTACTTTATGTAAGTTATACCACAGTAAATGTAAATTTTACAAAAGTAAAAATGTCTCAAGAAAGATTGAGTTGAGGGCACAAGTAGAGGTTGTTAAATTTCCTCTGAATTAGGCAGGAAGCTATTACTCGCCAAATCCTGAAATGATACTTCTTCAATCTTAAAGGAAGTTATTTTAAAAATAAGTTAAGTGTGAAGTGTGGCCGGGCTTGGTGGCTCAGCCTGTAACCCCAGCATTTTGTGAGGCCAAGGCAAGGGGATTCCAGACCAGCCTGGGCAACTTGGTAAGACCTCATGTCTACAATAAATAAAAAATTAGCTGGGTGTGGTAGCACATGTCTGTAGTTCCAGCTACTTGAAAGGATGAGGTGGAAGGATAGCCAGAGCCCAGCAGAGTGAGACTCCCGACTCAAAAAAAAAAAAAAAAGTAAGTAAGTGTTATATTAAGTATGTGTGTCTTTATGCTACAATGGAAGAAATAGACCATGGCTTATACTTTTTATAATACCAACTCCCTATCTAGATGAAACTAGTAACTTCTACTACATATGTAGCAAATATAAATATGTAAATCACAGCCACTCACTCACCATTCCTGTCCCAAGTTCATAAACTGTTCTGTACTGTGTTGGGTCAATAGATATATATTAGGTGCTGTTTAAACACTTTTAGAACAATTAATATATAGAGGCCAAAGTAAGATATAAATCAGTGTTTACTAAAGAGGATTCCTTGGAAGACTGGGTCCACAAAATATCTTGAGAAATTATTCCATGGCCAAACCAGTTTGGGAAACACTACATACATTCTCTTGGAGATTTTATAGTGTATACTAGCATGTTAAAGGCTATAAAAAGTTATGCAGTAAGAAAACATTTTTTAAAAATATTTGTTCAGTTTAGTATTTTCTAAACTTATTCAGTCGCAAGAGCTTTATTTTGCCACAAAACTCATTATATATTTGTTTTGTATTTTGTAGAGATGGGGTCTCACTATGTTGCCCAAGCTGGTCGCAAACTCCTGGCCTCAAGCAAGCCTCCTGTCTCTGCCTCCAGAAGTGCTGGGATTATCGGCATGAGCCACTATGCCCACCCAGTTTATTATATCTTATACAATCAGTTTTCAACACAATACACTTTAAGAAACGCTAATTTAGATAAATCCATTGTCAACAAGCTCATAGAAAATAACTGAGCAATGGCTATCCAAAATCCATATCTAACTTATGAGGATAATTGTTTAGGGGACAACTATAACATTATACCATAATATGTCTCTTAGTGCTATTTTCAGGGACTTAAAAGATACTGAACTGAACAGTTCATCGGTCTAACTTATGAAAATATTTATTATATTCATAAGAAGGAAACTACAAAAAGAGGTTAAAGAAGAAAATAGATGGTAAAAGAGTTGAAAAGAGGACTCAGAAGATACTAAAGGAGTTGGGATGACTAATCTGGAGAAGAGATGGAGAAACTATCAACAACTATATAAAGGTCCTTATTATTATTATTATTTTTTGAGTTGGAGTCTCACTCTGTCGCCCAGACTGGAGTGCAGTGGCCGCTCCTGGCCACTGCTGCCTGGACCTGCTGGGCTCCGGCGATCCTTCCACCTCAGCCTTCTAAGTAGCTGGAACTACAGGTGCGCGCTACCACACCAAGCTAATTTTTTTGATTTATTGTAGAGATGAGGTCTCACCAAGTTGCCCAGGAGGGTCTCGAAATCTCGGGCTCAGGCAATCCACTCACTTCAGCCTTCCAAAGCGCAGGATTACAGGCTGAGTCACCGAGCCTAGCCTAAAGGTCCTTATTATAACAACTAAAGGTCCAAATTTGCTAGCCAGGCATGGTGGCTCATGCCTGTAAACTGAGCACTTTGGCAGGCGGAGGCGAGAGGATTGCCTGAGCCCAGGGGTTGGAAACCAGCCTGGGCAACTTGGTGAGACCTCGTCTTTACCACAAATCAAAAAATTAGCTGGGCGTGGTGGCGTGCGCCTGTGGTTTCAGCTACTTGGAAGGCTGAAGTGAGCCCACCAGGTCGAGGCTGCGGTGGCCATGAGCATGCCACTGCACTCCAGCCTCCAGCCTGGGTGACAGAGTGAGACACTGACTCAAAAAATAAACAAACAAATAAATGAATAAAGATATAAGAGAAAAAATACCACCTCCTGACTGAAAAAGATGCAGAAGCACCGGAAAAGCTGATAACCAAAATAAAGTTTTTCGACAATACAGGAATTCACATGGAAACATAAACGACCACAAATTTCCAAAAATGATCCTAAGCAAAACAAACAAACAAACAAAACAAACAAAGCTCACACTTCCAGACTTTAAACTCCATTATAAAGCTACAATAATCAAAATAGCCTGATATTGGTATAAGAACAGGCATATAGAGCAAAAGAAGAGGATAGAGATTCCAGAAACAAAGCCTCAATTTCTCAACCAACTCATCTTTGACAAAGCCTCTACCACCAATGACTGGGGAAAGGAGAACCTATTCAGTAAATGGTGCTGGGAAAACTGGCTGACCACATGCAGAAGATTAAAACAAGATCCCTACCTATCACCATGCAAAAAAAATCAACTCCAAATGGATCAAAGACCTAAATATAAAACCTCAAACTGTAAGAACCTTAGAAAATGCAGGAGATACCTTCATGGAAATTGGAACTGGCAACCAATTCTTGATCAAAACCCCAAGTGTCCATGCCATAAGAGATAAGATAGAAAAGTGGGACCTCATCAAACTGACAAGCTTCTACAAAGTCAAAAAAACCATCAAGAGAGCAGGGAGACAGTCAAAGACTGGGAAAAAATGTTTGCCAACTGTATGTCTGACCAAGGCCTAACATCTAGGATCTACAAGGAATTCAAACATGCCAAAAAGAAAAAAACAGCCCCAATACAAAGTGGGCAAAAGATATGAATAGACAATTCTCAAAAGAAGACATACGAGCAACCAACAGATACATGAAAAAATGCTCAGCCTCACTAGTCATCAAAGAAATGCAAATTAAAACTACACTGAGATACCACTTAACTCCAGTCAGGATGGCTATCATTAATAAATCAAAAAACAACAGATGCTGGAGAGGATGCGGCGAAAAGGGAACACTTCTACACTGTTGGTGGGAGTGTAAACTAGTACAACCTCTGTGGGAAACAGTGTGGCAAT